GATGCCCTTCCTGATGCAACACTGAGACATGAAAAATGGTCCTGTGCCATATGTTTCTACCCAGAGTTCTTTGCGCCCCAGCTCTTACTTTTCAAGGTCCTGTGTTACTATAGATGTTCTAAAAGTTCTACCATCCTGTGTTACCCAGCCTGAAAAACAACCTGAAAAAGATGTCCTGCAGCTCTGTATTGGCATAGTGATGTGGGTTGACCCAAATAATAGGAGAGATGATGCATGAGCATTAAACTGGAGGGGGACAGGATACTGGGGCATAAAACTTTGGTAACAAAAATAGACTTTGAAACAGGGCATGCTAATCTTTTTTTTTTAAACAGCATGTTATAGTTTTGTTTTTTTGAATTATCTTATAAAAATGGCACTTTTATATCCACCCTTTGATGCCTCCATAGACCAGCATAACTGTCATGTATTTGTATCAACACTCACATTTTCTATACCTGGAAAAAGAACATAATTTTCTCCTTGTCTTGCTCTTACAGCAGTATCACTATTGTTCTCGCCACCTACGTGGAACATTGACAGGTGAAAACAACACGTTTCAACACTTCTCTGGGGTAGACTGATTCTGGGAAACGTAGATCACTAAGTGTACAATGCAGCTGAAAGAAGTTCAGCATACCACATTTACACACGACAAGTCCTGGAAAGCATGATGTGGTTTGTGACGATGAATCAGTTAATTTTTTTTTTCTTTAATGAACCATAATTTGGAAAAACTGCAAAAAAGCAACGTTTCTGCAAGTGTTTGCAGAGTTAATCCCCCAGTTTTCTTGCATCTGCGGTTAAAGGTTTCTGCAAAAATCTAAAGAATACGCCTTGTGTAATCCAGAGCAAATTGACAAATGCAGTTCATCGAGTACAGTCAGATACTTCCTCTTTCACCTCTGTACTGAGAGACATGTCAAACAGAGCAAAGCGAGATGTGTGGTTACTGCAAGAATTCCGATATGACTCAGCAGTACTTTCCAGGAACCGAGCACCTGCCAATTCACAGATACACTTTTCATCGTGCTGTCAGTCCCCCCCCCTCCACACACACACACACAAATGCTCTGATCTTTACGAAAACCTTGTTACAAGACGTTTACGGAGTGAAGCAGATTTGTGTTTCTTCTGTACATCTCTCTCTCTCTGTGCACGTCTGACAGTAATATCAGTGAGAGCAAACTTCATCTGTGTGCCACGTTAGTAAAAGAGTGTAAACTGCTCTTCAGGTCATTAAATCTCCTCAGTTAGCACGCATAGCACTAACATCATACAGCTTCATGCAGCACTGGGTTCACAGAGTTTGGCTAAGTGTGTTTGTGTGTTTGCGAAATCCATTTAGCACCCATTTTAAACTTGATGTATAAAGCCTGAAGTGTCATTAACCCGCATTATGTAAAACAACTTCCATCTTGTAGCGAACTGATTTTTTTTTTTCAACAACTGTAGAGAACCTCATCTTCCTCTCTAGCTTTTATTGATTTGAGTTGATTTTTATCAACTATAGAAATCTTAATTTGTCACAGGTTTACTGCGTCCTTTTTTTTTCTTCCTTTTAGTCAGATTGACACTATGAGGGGGAAGGGCTAAAGGTTTACCAATCACATTTTCCCAAAGGATGATGTCAGCTGGTTTCACAGGAAGTCTATTGTTGTCCACTCCCTTTTCCCTTTGGTTTTCAAGTCAGACTTTCTCACGCTTCAATATTTAAGGTTTGCTTATTGTGGGGGGGAATAATCGTGCATTTCAGTGTTCCTATATTTGATGGCCTACAGAAGCACGTTGACAAACACTGCCATCTTCCCTTCCTTCTCTATCTACCTATGTTGAGATAAGCCCGGCCTCTCACTTTGTTTTGCATCATTTTACCTTTGCGGTCTCGTTAAAACACCCAAAGGCGTGAAATGATTGCCTTCAATAGCTTTGTGGTATATGCAATCTCCTGGCTGCGCTCGAAATAACCTCCCTGCTGAACTATATGAGCAGCCCATAATATTCCAAGGGAGACCTGTATTGTGTCTGTGGCTCATGTTACAGTGACTTTATCGTGCTCTTGGGTATTTTCTAATTCTTATGATGTCATGCATTTCCTGTAAACTCTACTAGATTATAATGTAGCAAGGAGGAAGCAAGAGTTGAGAGTTTGACTAATTAAACTGCTATAAGTGCAACCAACTATTATGGATGGGCCAGCTCATATTATTATTTGTGTCTTCCCACTTTATGTAATGCATTAATAATGCGAACTGCTGGTTTGGGGAGTGCAGCTGTGATGTAGACTCATAGCTGATGAAAAATGTGCACAAAGCTGCACACTATGAATGCAGATTACAGTGGCTGAAAATTACAATAACATTGTGCTTCAGATTGCATGTACCTTTAAGAAAGTTGCAATGCACAGCTTGACAACCTCAACAAACACCATGACATTGCTGTTAGTCCTACCTATGGCGCTTACTGGCTAATGGTGATTCTGGTGTTCATTGGATTAATTTTGTTTTTAACTGAGAAAAAGCTGTTTGAGGCCGCAGTGCCAGCTCAATGGCGGAAAGAATAAAAGGAATGTTAACCCTTCATTAATAGGATTTAAAGTTCTTGAATCAGGAATAAAGCTTGGAGTCCAACAAACAAATTAGCTGCAGCACTGTGCAAAAGTCTTGAGCCACCCCTTATTTCTTTATATTTTGCAAGAAAAATGGGGAATAGGTGGAGCAGTTTATTGAATTATGTGAGAACATCCATGGAATATGAGGAATTTATAAGGTATATAAAGTAAGTACAATTCTAACACGCTTGAGGGTCAATATTTGGTATGGCCAACACAGCTTAAACTCTCTGAGGCAGCTTTCTTGTCATTTCTTTAAGTATCTTCAGGAATAGTTCTCCAGGCTCCTTGACGGACATTCAAAGCTCTTCTTTGGATATTGGCTGTCTGTTGTTCTGTTTTCTGTTAAGATGATCACACACTGCTTCAATAATGTTGTGGTCGAGGCTCTGGGGAGGCCAATCCATGACTGATGGCATTCCATTCTTTTGTGCATTTGTTTTTTAATATCCAGATATGTTTTTACAGTGTGTTTGGGATCGTTTTCATGTTGAAAAATGAAGCTGATGCCAATCATATGGTTTCCAGATGGTACTGCAATCTGACAGTACTGTTCTGAGTTTATAATTCTATCAGTTTTGACAAGATGTCCAACACCACTGGCTAAAATGCAGCATCAAACTAAGAGAGCGCCTCCACCGTGTTTCACAAATGTCTATAGAAAGTCACTGTTGTACCTCTACATGACCTCTTCTGTGCTTATTGATGACCATTTTTAATGTTCAAATCTGGAATCATCTCTTCATAAGACATGTTGCCACTAATTTTCAGTATTTACCTCAGAGTTTTCTTCACATTTTCTCTCTTTAAGAATGGCTTCTTGGCAGCCACCGCTCCACTGAGACCATTTCTGACAAGGTTTCAGTGAACAGTGATGGATCAACTACAGAGCCAGATCCTGTCTCGGGTCTTTGCTGCTGTGGATAGGTTTTTTTGTTTGTTTGTTTGTTTGTTTGTTTGTTTGTTTGGGGTTTTGTTTAGTTTTTTTTTTTTGGGGGGGGGGTTTTTTTTTTTGGGGGGGGGGGTGAACTATTTCTTTTTATGTCCTCTGGTACCACAACTGGTATGGTTTTGCAACAGGATGCTTGTAACAAAGTGGCTTGAGAAGGAAATTAAAATTGGTTCTTTGCTAAGTTGTCTGTTACATGTATGAACAGCATGACTGGACTGAAAATGAATGAGAAACCAGCCAATGTCCAAAGAAACACTTGGCAGCCTGGATAACTATTGCTCAATACTACTTAAAAAAATAAAAAATAACAACAACAACAAAAAAAGAAAAGAAAATGTGCACCCTTGGAAGCAAAATATAAAGAAATGAGCAGTGCCTCCAGACTTTCAAATTATTGTTTTTTCTTACCATAGGACAGAAGGTGGGCTAACAAATCTCTACCTTGTACGCTAAAATGTGCTAAGCTAACAATTTAATTGCACTAGCTCTTACATAAAATAGCCATCAGTTTTAGCTAACTCCTCACACTCAACAAGGTGTGTTACTAAGATTCTATTTTTTAGTTAACATGTTTAAAAATAGCCCTACATCCTCACCTGAAAATATAGCTAGCATGCAAAGATATATTTTCAGTCAGCTAGTGCCTTGCTGCTAGACGTTTACACCTTTTGCTTCTTTACCTACATTACCTTAGAAATATTAGAAAGTAAGTAAATACAGGGCCAGACTCGCTGATACCAAAACACATTTAACCTAAAAACGCAGCTTATTTACGGGTTGTGATTACTTTCCACGATATTTAGTTAATACAACAAAACACACATTCAACCTGTTCATGCATGTTCATAACTGTGACAGAGACAGGTCTCTTATGCACTTTGGGTAAACTTATGTGGTTTAAATGTACCATAGTATATGTTTGAGGTTTATTTTTTTCCATTTCCAAAAGAATAATTTACCAGTGGGCTCCATACCCAACTTAGAGGATAGAAAAAGTAAAGCCAGCATTGCTATTGATACTATAAATATTTGGATTGATCCGCCCAACTCTAGTAAACATTAAATGTTCATTCAAACTTGCTAGAATTAGTAGTAGTAATATAAAAATAAAACGTTCCAGGTGCTTTAGGATAAATGCTGAAAAACTATAAATTTCACTTGAAATATAGCCTCCCTAGTCAAAACTACTCACTTAATTAGCTAAATTGAGATTAACAGAGTTCAAATTTTGTACTTACAGGAAACATATTATAATAATGCATATCACTGAACGCACTTTTCACGTGTTCTTTTTCAAGCAAAGCATCATTTTATGTTTAACCGATGCTAAGAGTGACGTTTTTTCCCCTGTTAGTTTTCTATTTTTATGAATGAAGGCGGAGGTCAGTGTGCTTTCGTCATGTTCTCGACTTATCCACTAGGGGGGGCGCAGCAATACGCAGAGAGAAAAGCCTGCTGTCTCTCGCGGTGCTCAGGGTCGTGCGCGTGTCACCGTCTCACAGCATAAAGGCGAGGTTCACAGCTTCAAAACTTGCGATACATGGCTTGGAGGAGGCAGCGGGCAGCCGCAGTCCGACGTGTGCTGAACACGGTCTGAACCCGAGCTGAATGAAGCGAGTCCTCGTCTAGGCTGTTCCGAGCGCCGTGCTTTTCCCCCCTCCTTCCCTTTTCCATTTCTAATTTCCTTCTCGGTGAAATCTGACACATCAGCGGCTCGCTCGAGTTTGTAGACTGGTAGATTTATGCTAATTGGCCCGCGTGCTTCGCGATCGCAGGCGGTATCAGAAGCAAACACACTCGGCTGAAAACTGTGGCGTTTTTAGATGCCTTCAAGTTTGTGAGCGAGAGGGACAACCCCCCCCCCCCTCCCCCCTCCTCTTCCACCTCCTCCTCCAAACCCCGTTTTTTCACACGAGGGACAGACACACCGACATCACCGCCATCCTCTGCTGTATGAAACTGATCAGTGTCGGGAAGGAAACAAAAAAAGAAGTGGTCAAAGATTTGACGGGAATCATGGCAGCTACTTTATCAGCGGAGGAAGAGCAGGTAGGCCCTGAGAGTCCGTGTCTTTTACACTTCTTCGTTTCTGGGTTATGTTGGCTAACAATAAATAAATAAATAAAAATCTTTCAGTCTCGAGACTCTACCTGGAGGCTTTTTTGCCCTGTGTACTGCGAGTGCGCAAATGGTGGCTGTGCTCCGAAACGGTCCTGAATGCCGAGCGGAAATATTGTATCGATTTCTGGCGCATTACTGCTCTCTTTGCATCACTGTCAGCGGCTGAGCTGATGGGCTGCAGCACAGGCCGAGCTTGTCTTTATCGCCCCCCTAGAAAATGGAAGGGAAGGGGGGCATGTTTGTTTCGTGTGTCGTAGTTAAACACGGTGTATTGACGGGAAACTGCTTGGCCGCGAGAGTCGGAAACGCTGGCCGGTCTTTGACAAAATGTACACAGTAGAAACTTGGCTCAGCGTAAAGAGTCATGCATGCTCATGCCGTGCCATCCGAGCACATTTTAACGCACATATCGCCGCACTTTCCAAGTTAAGGATGGAGGAAGTGCGTTTCTCTCAAATATTTCAGTACTTTGTTGTTTGCTTTAAGTAAAAAATAGCCGTGCAAACTCTGTCCCCACACTCTTAAACACCAGCTTTAAGTTATCAAATCGTTTTCGACATTATTGGCCTGTTTTTCTACTTCGAGGCTTGGAAGTAGTGAGAAGTGGGAGAATTCTGAGAAAACTATTCCAAGAACAGGAATTGGCCTATTGGCTCATTCTAGGCTTCAAGAACTCTGAGCCCGAAGAACGGAGCGTTTATTCTAGGAATGATGAGACTCTTGATTATTGGAGCAGAAGGATTTGCTTGATAAATCCCTTAGATGATGGACAGATAAGCAGCCAGCCTTTGTTTTTGTTTGTTTGCGATAATGTCTGAACAGGTCCTCAAGTGTAAAGATTTGCTTGTTTGCTCTTTTTTGACTTGTGATTTTTGAGTTGAATATTCCTGCGATTTCAAGTATTTAATCATATGAGGATGGAAATCTTTTACAGACCTAGCTATAAAACAGAGTGTAGTAGTAGAGTTATGCATGAATGGTAGAGGTGGGCAGATCGAAATATCGATGGTATCGATGCCGATGCTGGTATCGGTATCTTACATAGGCGAGTTCAGACTCTTTTTAGGGGTGCTCAAGTGTCCCTCAATTTCATCACACCACCCCTAAAGAAAACTGCCCATTTCTATTCCGGTTCTGCGCTTCATTGTTTGTCTGCAGTACAGCTCCTGATCCAGGTGAGAGCAAGTCTACGTTTACGTCCAGTAGCAGCCTGTAGTCAGTCTGAATATTGTTATAAATGAGGAGCAGTTTATGCCTTTCATTGGTTTGTAAGTTCTGCTTCGCTGTTACAGTTGAACTTTTGGGTAACAGCACAAAGTCGGAGAGAACAGAAGTGAGCACAATGAAGACGGCAGAGAGAGGAAAACAAACGGGCAAGAGTGAACCTGTAGTCAAGGTCAACAAAATTATAAAGGAAGTGTTGCTTCCGTTTTGCCCATATTCTTTGATAATGATTTTTTTTTTCTCACTCAGTGTCTAGGTGGGTTCTCTCCAGGTACTCTGGCTTCCTCCCACACTGTAAACACATGCAGTCAGTGGGGTTATGTTAAGTGGTGATTCTTAACTGCTCATAGGTCTGAATGGTTGACTGTCTGTGTTAGTCATGTGACCGTCTCGCAACCTGTCCAAAGTGTAGCCCACCTCTCGCCCTATGGCAGTTGGGATAGACTCCAGCCTCCCCATAACCCTAATAAGTATAAGTGAAAGAGAATGGATGGATAATTTTACATGCATTTAATGGAAGCTTTGTGTGCATACTTTATATTGTAAGGTAGCCCCTACAACAGTCATGACTCCCTATGAGCAAGCCCTTTGGTGACAGTGGGAAGGAAGAAACCTCGAGCAGAACCAGGCTCTGAGAAGGGAGGCTATCTGCCGCGACCAGCTGGGGTGAGGGAAGGAAGATGGGACAAAATACATGCTGTGGAAGGGAGCCAGAGATTAATAACAGTAATGATTCAATGCAGAGAGGTTTATTAACACACGGTGTGGGAGAAAGGTGACTGAAGAAGAAATACTCAATGCATCATGGGAATCCCCCAGCAGCCTACACCTATTGCAGCATAACAAAGGGAGGATTCAGGGTCACATGATCCAGTCCTGACTATATGCTCTAGCTTGCAGAATGGATTTTCCACTTTCTGTATTGAAAAATGTTGCTTTAAGTGCTTGAGGATTTGGTTGACTTCCTCTATGTGGTTAAGAGACTGAACCAGTGTCGTGCATGTTTCTTCTTTCTCCTCGCAAACTGTTATTTAACTTATTTTGAAACGTTTGCTCAACATGAGTGAGCCTCTGACTCAGATTTGATAACTAAAGTGTTTGTGATGTGCTATTCGGTATTGGCTGTTTTCAGGAAAAAATAGCATGTGTGCAAAAATGTAAATAGAAATGTAATTGAAAATAGCACCGAGATGAATGATCAGATAAACTGAGACTGGGGCCACGAAAGACTGTAAAGTCTGTGTACTGTGGGGGGAGGAACGGAGGTTTCTGGCAGAACATCTCAGAAATAATTAGGTTAGTTTGTAATATGATTGGGTATAAAAAGAACATCCCTGTGAGGCTTTTCAGTCAGAAGATGGGAAGAGGCTCAGCGCTCTGCAAAAGACCGCATGGGCAACAGTTTAACTAGGATGTTTCTCAAAGTAAAAGTTTAGGCTTCTCATTATCTGTAGTACATGGTATCATTAACAGATTCAGAGAATCCAGAGAAATCCCTGCACACGAGGCCAAAAACCAATATTTATCGGCCCTGATTTCTTTTTTGGGCCCTGGGGCGGCTCTGCATTTAAAATCAAATGCTCTTCTGAGTTTAAAAAAAAAAAAAAAAAAATCTGCGTGGGCTATGGGAGACATACCAAAAACTGCATTTACAAATGTGAGTTAAAACACAATGTGAGAGATCCAGAAATGCTATCAGCTTCTCAGGATCCCAGCTCATAAAAGATGGACTGAGGTCAAAGTGGAAAAACTGTCGTGGATGAATGAAAACTTGGAATTTTGATTTGGAAGTCATGGATGCTGCAATGCTGCTATCTGGATAATTTGTCAACATACAGCCTGCAATGACCACTGACATTGGTAACTTGGAGATCAGTGAAGGCGACATGAATGTTATAAACAGGTTTTTAAGCATTTACTGCCACACAGGTTTTCCCTTCTTTCTGGGACGGCTTTGTTTATTCAAGAACTGTAATGTCATTCACATTCTGCACATATTGTAGCAGTATGGTTGAGTAGTAAGACCAGCTGCTAAGGTGGCCTGCCTGCAGTCCAGATAGGTCATGCATCATGAAATGCAAAGACCCAAAACTGTCTTTGTGTTTTTTCCTCAATTACATACAGAGTAGAGCAGGCGATATGACCAAAAATATTTATCACGATATACATTTGAAAATTTGCGATAACGATATAATTGACAATATAATTGACACTAGACAAAATACTTTACAACTCCACAACTTTATTAGTGCAACAAACCATCAATGTATTTTCACTTAAACAAGCAGCTGTTTTTTATGTGCATTAGTTATATAAAAATATAACAGTGCAAATGCAAATTCCTTGCTGACAGTTTAACCAAAAGGCATTTCCAGTGGAAACTGGCCGACATATCCTCAGCATAACCATGTATAATATCCACAAAACTTAAAAATAGCTTATACACACAATACGGTAATATTATGTTGAAGCACAGTACATATGACTCCGCAAGGCGCCTGGCTACAATAGCCGTAATGCTCCGACAATCCATCAAGCGGTGCGGGTTCGTAGCTTAGCAAAGTCGTATTGAAACATTTGACAGATTTTCATTTCGAGGTCAGTAAACACAACCAGAATTCATACATAAGGCACACGGGATTATAAAGGGCACTGTCGATTTTCAGAAAAATCAAAGGATTGATTTTAAGTGGCCGTATTTTCCAAACAACACGGTAATAACGACGGCCCGCTAGCATGCTCTACCAAAAATAGTGCTTTGTTGTGTATCTGACGGATGAAAGCCAGACCAGTTCCACACCACTGAAGTTGCAGCATTTTTACAAACCAGTTCTGGTTCATCCGTTTCATTCAACGATCCACTTTCGCTCTTCTCAATCTGTGTCGCCGCCATGTGCCTATGTAAACATAGGACTGCGCATTCGCATTTTACCCATATTCTATCGCAATATTTCATTTTCTTATCGTTGCCCAAAATTACACCGTGAACGGTATGATATAGCCCAGCCCTAATACAGAGTTTATATGATTTGCAAACAAATGCATTCCACATTTATTTACATTTAAAGATTAGTTGTGCTTCTTTTGTTTTGTTTTGTTTTTGGGGGGGGTGTTAAATATAAAGTTAGCATAACCATCTGTTCGCAGAAATCAGTGTTTGATCCTCTATGGGTTGTTGTACAGTTTCTGGTATTTTTTCCACCTCATTGATGTCACTGATGATACTCGAGATAGTAGAGGACGTTTCTCAATATAATTCAGTTTTTAAAAAAAATAATAATAAAAGCACCACAGACTGCTGCCTCTAAAAATAAATTCAAGTTGAATCAACAGCAGTCTAACTCATTCATGAAGGTAGGGGTTTATGTATGGCTGTCGTATTAGATTATGTAAGATTTCATCAGCTTCTGGTTTAGACATAACCAGTTGAAGTTAACTCGCTGTTAAGCTTACCCAATTATTTCGAAATCCAGCGTCAGCAGAGCAGTGCAGTTACTGTGGTGGAATAACTATGACTTTGCAGAAGCTCGATTTCTCATATATACTACTTCTCGGTGCCAGTCATGCTCGTGCTTTCTCTTTCCACCGACTCCTCATCATCTGGCCAGCAGAAAGCTCCTTATCTGCCTGCTCCATTTCCTGTGTGAGCCAGGGCCCCTGCTAGGGTACCGGACGCCCTCATTACATCTGCAGCCGTGTGTGTG